GCATTTCCAAGTCAGTCCTTGGCTATTTGCTTTTTCTCACACAAAACTGGTCTGGCGGGTTTTCAGAGCTCGATTTTGATTTTCAAAAGGAATACTTTTAACTGCTACCAGCCCCCTCTCTGTCACATTGGGACCCAGGAACACATCGATCTGGGTATCAAATACGATCCAAGCATCGGTATCTACAACCTGGACTTCTATGGGGTGCTGGGTAGGCCAGGTTTCCAAACTGAATCAGCAAAGCGGAGGCCGTGCGCTGGTTCCAGCAGAAGGATGATGGGATCATCCTTCTTGGCAAATAAACTCCCGTTTCTATCCAAAAGGCCAGTACAAAGTTTTCAGTGAAATGTAAAAAAAAAAAAAAAAAAATACAGAGACTGGGTAATCGATAAAGAAAAGAGGCTTGCTTGGCTCACAGTTCTGCAAGCTGTACAGAAGCATGTCCCTGGCAGGGGCTTGGCTGCTGGTGAGACCTCGGGAAGCTTCCACTCACGGTGGAAGGGGAGCCTGCGTCTGGCAGGCAAGAGGGAGAGGGAGAGGGAGAAGGCGGCACCCGGCTCTTTGGAACGATCGGTTCTCCCACGAGCTAACAGAAGAACGGCCTCATCCCCTTGAGGACATCAAGCCACTCATGAGGGATCCGTCCCCGTGACCCAAACACCCCCCACTAGGCCCCAGTCCCAACACTGGAGACCACATTTCAACGTGAGACTTGGAAGGGACAAATGCCCAGCCCCATCACCTGTATAAAGCCACAGTCGTATCTTAAGGGTGAAGTAATCCATCCCCCACCCCCACGCCCTGCACCACCATCCACCCGCCTACACACCCCAGAGAATGCAAGAAAAACTGCTTATTGCTAAGGGGAAAGCAGGGAGCAAAACTTCCCTAGAGGTAGGGCGTTTCCAAAGTAGCCTTCACATGGATTTTCAGGCCACTCTACCTGGATGGTCCCAAAAAACCTTAAGAGGAAGATTTTAAAAGTAATGAGCTGGCAGCGATCCTGGCAAAAACAACCTAGGCCTCTAATAATTTCCCACAGATAAGGTTCTAGGATACAAACTCAGTCGAAACCCCCCAAACGCAAAAGAAACAGAGCTGCGGGTCAGGCGCGGTGGCTCAAGCCTATAATCCCAGCACTTTTGGGAGGCCGAGGTGAGGGGATCGCCTGAGCCTATGGGATAGAGACCAGCTCTGGCAACTTGATGAGATCTCATCTCTACAATAAATTAAAAAATTAGCCGGGCATGGTGGTGTGTGCCCGTAGTTCCAGCTACTTGGAAGGCTGAGGCGGAGGATCGCCTGAGCCCAGCAGGTCAAGGCTGCGGTGGCCGGGAACATGCCATTGCACTCCAGCCTGGGTGACAGGGTGAGATTCCAACTTAAAAAAAAAAAGATAGGAGAAAAGAAAAACATAATAGGTGTATAGCACAAAATTTAATTCTATAAACACTGAAAATGAATGCAATGCTTCAAGCCAAATGCAAAGATTGTCAGAATAACTTAAGAAACACAGCTATATGGTGTTAAGAAACACGCCTAAAACATAAGGATACAAAAAATGTTGAAAATAGGAAAAGATACCCTAGGTGACTACTAACCAAAAGAAAACTGCTATATAAATATCAGACAAGATAGACTTTGAAGCAAAGAATATTACTAAAATAAAGAGGGCTCCAAAATAATGTTAAAGGTTTGAAGCACCAAACAATCCAATTATCATTGCATCAAAATAAACAAATCAAAAATAGAAAGAATTACAAGAAAGAATTGACACTGAATCATCAAAGCAAGAGATTTCACCAAATATCTCTCAACAATTGACAGGCTATGTGGGCACACGCATAAAAATTTACTTAGGCTACATTAGATTTGAACATCATAAATTTTAAAATGTATTCAATTGACATGAGTAGTACACTGGACATCTGCAGAACACACATTTTCTTGAAACACACCAAAAGTCATTTCTTTTTAAATGACTATCTAAAAGCAGTAAAAAAAAAAAAAAAGGCTGATCTCGCTCACTTCTATTCAGCACTATACTGAAGGCTCCAACTAGCAAATCTGGCAAAAATAAAAAGAAAAGCCAAAGGGGGGAAAAATGGTTAAAACGTATTCATGATGATATGAATGTCTATTAAAAACCTAGAAGACTCATAAGAGATAGTGTTGGATTGAAGTAATACACAAAAATTAGCACACGCCTGTCATTCCGGCGACTCGGAAGGCTGAGGCGGAAGGATCGCCGGGGCCCGGCGGGTCGAGGCTGCGGTGGCCGGGAGCGGCCACTGCCCTCCAGTCTGGGCGACCGAGTGAGACTCCGACTCAAAAAAAAAAGAAAAAGAGAAACAGAAATGAAAGCCTAGACACGAAACACAAATACCTGAAAACTTAATGTATGTCAAAAGTAACACTGCAGAAGAAAAAAGGGACGTTTCAAAAGATGGTTCTGAAAAAAATGATCAATAAAAAAGCAAACTTGACCATTATTCTCATCATACACACGAAAATCAAGCTTCTGTAAATTTAAATGTGAAAGGCAAAAATCACAGAGCCGCTATAAGGAAATATAGGTTAATATTTCCATGACCCTGAATGAGGGTGTAGGAAGAAGAAACATTTGACAATTAAAATTGAAATGCCAATTCATCAGAAAACATCATAAACAGAATGAGAAAAGACAAATAACTAGCAAATCAATTTTTAAAAGGAAACTGCCTAATTAAGTTTACAAAGGACTTGAATACACTTTACAAGAAGGGACTCCAAAACCAATAAACACTAGATGATTTTTTTTTTTTTTTTTTTTGAGTTGGCGTCTCATTCTGTCGCCCAGACTGGAGTGCAGTGGCCGCTCCCAGCCACCGCAGCCTCGCCTGCTGGGCTCTGGCGATCCTTCCACCTCAGCCTCCCAACTAGCTGGAACTACAGGCGTGCACTACCACGCCCGGCTAATTTTTTATTTATTTTGAGATGAGGTCTCACCAAGTTGCCCAGGTGGGTCTCGAACTCCCGGGCTCATGCAGTCCACTCACCTCAGCCTCCCAAAGTGCGGGATGACAGGCTGAGCCCCCGAGCCCAGCTAGATGATTTTTAAAAATTCCTCAGTGAGTAACCTTATGGCTAGACATGGTGGCTCACTCTGTCATCCTAGTAGCACTTTGGGAGATTGAAGCAGGAAGAACACTTGTGACCAGGAGTTCAAAACCAGCCTGGGCAGCATGGTAAGACCCTGTCTCTACCCAAAAAATTTTAGTAACTTGGGAGGCTGAATCAAGATGATGGCCAGAGCCCAAGAGGTAGGGAGCCAGGACTGTGCCACTGCACTCCAGCCTAGGTGACAGAGTGAGGTCCTGTCTCTCTAAAAAAAAAAAAAAGAATAAAGGAACTTCTTAATAAGTAACAAAGTCCCTGTAAGATATTTCATACTGCCAAACTGGCAAAACCTCTGTCAAGTGTAGGCAAGGATGTGGAATAACTGAAGCACTTAAGCATTACTGGAAGAAACACATTATTATGCTATTTGGGGAAACACATTTGCAACATCTAGGCAAAGGTGAATATAATCATTTTCTATGACCCAGTAATTCTACTCCTAGACATACACCCTAGGAAGATTCTCACAAAACACACAAAAGAATGTTCACAACTCAACTATTTGAGGGGCAAAAAATGTCCATCAACAGTAGAATAATCAAATTGTGAAATGTGAACTAACGACACACAACATGAGTCAATCTCAGAAAGATAATGTGAACAAGCAAGTTTCAGAAGTGTGCGACTTCACAGTGTGACTCCAGCTTGCGTGATGCTAAATAAGACACTATTTCGAACTGACAGCATACATAGTAGGCAACAGCAACAAGCAAAATCATGATACGCACAAGAGTTACTCCCGGCCGGATGCCATGGCTCACGCCTCTAATCCCAGCACCCTGGGAGGCCGAGGTGAGAGGATCGCCTGAGCTCATGGATTCAAGACCAGCCTGGGCAACTTGGCGAGACCTCATCTCTACAATAAATCAAAAAATGAGCTGGGCATGGTGACGTGCGTCTGTAGTTCCAGCTACGTGGAAGGCTGAGGCAGAAGGATCGCCTGAGCCCAGTAGGTCGAGGCTGTGGTGGCATGAGTGTGCCATTGCCCTGCAGCCTAGGCAACAGTGAGACCCCAACTCAAAAAAATAAAAAAAAAAAAGTGTTACTCCTGAGAAGGGAGGAATTAAAATGAGATTGAGGGTCAGTGTGGTGGCTCACACCTGTAATTCCAGCACTTTGGGAGGCCAAGGCAGGAGGACTGCTTGAGCCCAAAAGTTCAAGACAAAACTGGGCAACAAAATGAGACTTTGTCTCTTAAAAAAAAGAAAAAGAAAAGAAATAAAACAACACACCTGTGGGGGGGGGGGGTGTTTAACTGGAAGCCAGGATATTGAGGCTGCCATGAGCTCTGTTCATGCCACTGCACTCCAATCTGGGCAACAGAGTAAGACCATGATACAGAAAAAAAAAAATGAGATTGGGAAGGGACTTTTACACAGTACACAGTAATGCCCTATTAATTGAACATAAGAGTAAGTATACACATGTACCCACCTACATGTACAATAAATTGTTTTTCGTTTTTAAAAAAATCTGTCAGTTTCGGAAAGACACACTGAATTATTATTTCTTGTACTTCCCATATATCCTATAAGTATCCTTATCTACTGAATATTTTATAAAAATAAATTTAACCAAAGTGAGGACAAAAGGGAGGCCCAAACTTTACCTATACAATGACCACTTGTATACCTAATCTTGAATTGTACCCCACGTCTTTAAAATTTAAAAATAAAGTAGATTTAAAAGAAACTCCATATTCTTCAGAGGTGGTAAGAGACAAAAGGAAATGAAGTGTCCAAATATAGACAACTGTATACTATAATTCAGCATGTCAAGGTGTACTGAGATTGTCTAAATTAAAATAGAAGAGAAAAAGAAAAAGCCAGGCCACTGGAGAATGATGCTTAATTACATGTAATCATTTATTTAAAATAATTGTCCACGTCTTCCAATGATTTAACAGGCTGCGTTTCACTTTATCTTCCCAAACAGACAGAAATCAACGCTTACACTTTTTGTATTTTATTTTAACCACTATGTATGCTATCTTAATAACATTTTTCTTCATTAATACTAGAACCACATATATTAACCAATGAGCAGTACAGATTTAAATTATCATTTTGGGTAGCTGTGGTGTTGTGGACAGATTCTTGGGTTTTATCTGATGCTGGATGCTGTCTCAGGATCGATCTGAAAGAGCTGAATGTCTCAGGCAAAACATGCCACCACTCTAGACCTACTTCTCATCTGCAAAAGAAACGCCTACACTAGAGGATACCTATTATTTTATCTGGCTATAAAATTCCATGACTGTATTCCCCATCATTTTCACTTACATTTACTTCACCTTTATTTGCTACTTCTCCATCTATAAAACATAATTTTCCATACTCACATAAACATGAATTTGTTAAAAAATAAACAAACTCAAAATATTCTTATTCTAGTATATCCGCATTAATAGATAAAAAGGCTTTCACTTGAATTTTCCTTTTTTATTTCTACCTCTTATTTAATTCAATGATAATGTCACAACTGTAAAATGAATGCATTTAAAAACACAAAAGATATATTTCAGTGACAAAAAAATGCAATCATCATGAAAATCTACTGTACACTTTGCCAAGGTCAAAAAATTAAAAGTAATATGAAAAAGTTCAATCTTCAAATATATCCTAAACAAAAACTCTCTCCTAAATAATAAAATCATCATTTAAGAATATGTATCTTTATACACCAGGACACCAGTTCCAACAGCAAAACACCAGGAGGGAGAGGCAGATAAGATGGTAACTCTCCCCCAGCTTTTCTAGATAAAAACATGTGGTCACCAGGAAGTCAAGATTAAACTTCTAAAGCAAACATTTAACTCAAAATAAAATGAACATTCCTAACAGATGACAACAGAATGAAACTGATTTTTTTCATTCTTAGATAGAAATGAAATGGGAGCATTTCTTAATAATTACATTTGGTAATCATCTAAGAAAAACTATAGAGATAACCCCCCCTTACACTCCCAGCCACAGGTGTATAAAACAAATGCCTTCCATGAAATTGTCTTGTTACATGACTAAAATATCCTCAATTACTTGGGAAAATTTCATGCTTAGACTATTTCAAACACTTGGCTTTAAATATGTGTAATTATTGCAGTTGACATTTTTTAAACAATATCTAAATCTTACCAGAGAGATAATCTTTTCAGTATACATTGATTGGGCTTCCTTAGCAAATCTGAACAACTATTGTAATAGTGATGCTGGTGGTAATTAGTGATACTCTCACATTTTTCCCTTAAGAAATATATAACCCATGTAACACTAAGCAGTACACATGTTACACTGTACACTTTCTTAACAAGGAATGACTGTTTTCGGGCCTCACTAAGAAAACAAGCAAATAATGGCACTGACTACCTGTTTTATCACCAATAAGCTACAGCAAAACTCAAATGATGGATAGTTTATTAAGTATGTGATATTAAGCAAAAAATGAAAACCATACAATTTTACTAAAAGAAACATAAAAACCAGGGAAGAAGTTAAATGCGTAAGGCGTAGGTCCCAAAGATTACACTGATTCTGAACTGGATTTCCAAAGAAAAGGTTTCCATCTACATACGATGTCTTTGACTCTCTCTTATACTAGAAAGCTCCAAAGCAAATGCAGGCAAGCTCAGCCCTACTTTGTCAAAGATAAATACTCAGATAAACGAAAAGTTCCATCTGTTAAAGTGCATCTGCGGCCAGGTCTGCCCTGGCCCTGCCACTCGCGGCCCCCGAGGCAGCGGCTGGCCCTCGTGCTCTTCCTCCCGCGCTCTGGCCTAGCAAGAGCCACACGGCACAATGGGTTTTTTTAAACCAAATACTTTATACAGTGAACTACAGAAAAAAAAAAACCCTACATATACTGGCTTCTAAAATTCTAAAGTTAAGACAGCCTCATTATTTTTAAATACTTAAAATGTAAGGGGTCCATACAAGCTAAGAATTGTATATTAAGTATATACTTTCTACTTTAATATTCACTTGCTGTGCTCTTAAAATCTCTAGGAGAGAAGCAGATATTTGACCCATGTCTTTTGGCAACAGATTCAATAGCAAAAGTAGCAGGGTTGTAAAATTTTATAAAACTTGTAGTTTTTTTTTTTAAAGCTAAATTATTCAGTATCTTGTATTGTTATTGCACTCATGTATTGCCCGGAATTATATCTACAGCAACTCAGCAACAGTGATTGCAACAAAAGGTAAACAGGCCTACAAAGCACTTGATCTCCTTATTGGCAACAAAGTTTTCATAGGTGAAATGCAAACAACTGCAATTCCGATCAGACTGCATATGCTTGACAATTATTCAAACCTTATACAAAATTAAGTCTACCCCTCACCACTACAAATCTGTAAGGACCCAGAAAAGGATTTATATAGTACACAAAGTCTTGACTATTGCTGCATTCCACTTTGAAATCACTGAGTTAAACAGCATTTTTTCTAAGATTCAAAGAAAAATAGATTTTATAAAAGGGATTCTTTTTAATCACGGCATACATCATTTCAGTTACTGAGAGAAACAAGTTATGTTCTCTTCCACTGTAATTTGCTCTGATGAAAGAAATAATTCTCTCCTTCAACTTCTAACAAACGCTAGGTTTTCAAGACTCAAGGAATTATCAGTAGGCATTCTTTCTTTCTGCCCTAAGCTATTTGTCTCTAAAATATGTCAAGTAAGCTTTTAAGGATTCAGGGAGGGGCAGCTTCATGATCTTTTCTCTCAGTAAATTCTGAGGTGGCTCCTCTGGCTTCAAGGCGTCACTGTGATCTTTCTCTTCCTCTTCTTTGTTATCTTCTTCCATCCGTTCATCCTCCTCACTGTCTAGAGGCTGAGGAATAAGCTGATTGCCCACAAATACGTAAGTGTTGATTCTCTGCTTAACCCTCTTTCGTTTCCTTTTGGGTGGAGCCCTTTGCGGAATCCCCTTGGCCTGCATCTCATCGTTTATGAAGTTTCTCAGTGTGCGACGGATGTATATACGAGCCAAGTCCTGCAGATTCCTGACAGCACAGGGGGCTAAAAACACAAACAAAATAAAACAGAAATAAAACATTATATACTGTTCATTTTTTCCACAGAACAAAAGGTGTCTCTAAACAGATTTCAAAAAATACACAAACTCTGGCTTTCATCTAGCCAAGACTTCAGGGTATATACATATACACCAAGCACCACTGTAGATACTGAGAGGAGGGGTTCAAGAGTGTAGGGGCGTATGTGTTGCTATTTATATGCATAAAAACTCTCTGGGAAGAATAGAATCTTTAGAAACAGAACACAGAGAACTAAGTCATCAGGGGACAAGAAAAGGAGAGAGACTTTACCCTGAATATCCTGTATTGTTTTTTATGCTTAAATCATATGAAAAGAACTACCTATTCAAAGCAACATTTGAACAACTGCCTCAATCTCAACTTTAAGACAATTGCACGCATATGCGCACGCACACACAGGCACACACAGAGGCTTCTTTCTTCTGTAATCAACAAGTAGAATTAGTTCATGGCAAAGGTTCATCAGAAATCATGCTGTGAACAAATACCTGAATAACCTAAAGAAATATAGAGGTTTTTTTGTTTTTGTTTTTGTTTTTTGAGTTGGAGTCTCACTCTGTCGCCCAGACTGGAGTGCAGTGGCCGCTCCCAGCCACCGTAGCCTCGACCTGCTGGGCTCTGGCGATCCTTCCGCCTCAGCCTTCCAAGTAACTGGAACTACAGGTGCGCGCTACCACGCACGCCTGGCTAGTTTTTTTGATTTATTGCAGAGATAAGGTCTCGCCAACTTGCCCAGGCGGGTCTCGAACCCTCGGGCTCAGGCAATCCACTCACCTCAGCCTCCCAAAGGCACAGGATTACAGGCTGAGCTATCAAGCCCGGCTAAGAAATACAGAGTTTGTAAAAAGTTACTGGCGCTTACTCATATAAAACACATCACAGAGTTGGAACTCATCTTCTGTCTGTTCAGATGCACAAACATGTAAACCCTACTAGCAGCATAAACTCTTTGTAGCCCGTCCCGATATTTTACACAGAGAATTAAATTATCTTCACCTAACTCAAAATTAATATCCCCTAGTTTCCACTCCTGTAGAAATAAAACTATTACCAAGGATTCTTCTCAAATATCTAAAAATAAACAAAATAAAGCATAGCCTTTTTTAATTAAGTGGCATTAATTTTTTTCATCATTTATCTTTCTTATCTCTTCACTCTGGGTACTCTTTTCTGGATGTATCCCCCTTCCAAACTTTCTGTTGTAGCATTTGCAATTCTGCCTTCTTTAGCTATCTATATATGGCCCGCCTTTGCATTTAGATTGTGAGCTCTGGTGGGAGGGACTGGGGCTGCTGCCTCTCGGTGCTTCCATCCAGCCCTGCAGATACCAGCCAGGCACAGAGCAGCTCTCTGCCCAAGGCTAGCAGCATGCTTTGTGTTCCTCCTTCCAGCCACAGTGCCCCAGGCTATGCCCAACCACATCAGACACACCTGGCAGGAGGAGATAAGAGTCTTGAATAAAACCTGAGAGTCCAGACTTTTAAACCCTATTCAAAGGTCTCTTAGCACACATCTGCTGGTCCACTACATAACTTTTTCTTCCAACTGTCCTTGTCAACCCCATAGTGAACCCTGAAATGGAAAGAATTTCAGAGTCACACCTGGCATACTCAGCTAGAAACCATTTTCTCTCTCGGTCTGGTCCTGTCCCCGACTATATGTAGTGGAACCTGGAACAACATACAAGAAGTTGAGTTCAAATCCTGCTTCTGCAACCAATCCGTTTTGTGAACATGGGTAAGGAATAAAAGATGAGAGATCTCACTCCCTGTATGTTAAAATCTGCGAACTACACTGCCCGCTCTGCTACTCACCACATTATTTAACATTCATTGAACAAATATTGGCTCAACTATAAGCCAAGCACTGTTAAAGAACATATTTAGAAACAGTGGATGACTCATGCTTCGAAGTCTGCGCACCCTGCACTCATGGAACTCACGTACTCACATGTTTGGGAATTGTAGGTAAGGAAAAATCAGTTTTAAAAAGAAAAACGGGATGGGGGAAAGCAAAACACCAACGGTATGAAAGAGAAGATCTCGTGGGTAGGGTTACTTTCAACTGGGTGGTCACAAAGCTCTCCCTGAGGAGCTCATGTCTGAGCTAGGATCCAAATGATATGCGGTAGCAGCCACCTACAATATGAGGTAATCTTGAAGCAGAGAAAACAGCAAAACCCCGAACAAGGTTAGCGTGTTCAAGGGGCCAAAAGAAGGCTAGTGCAGGTGCTGTCTGGAGCACGAGACCAGCTGAAACACTTCAGAAACCCACATGAGATATAACCACGCTCTGACAGGGTGGGTGGTAGTCTAGACGAAGAGAAACGGACACATTTCAGAGAAGTTTTGAAGATGGGATGGAAACGGTTTGGCTGTGTGGGGTGAGGGAGGAGCAAAATGTCATGGAAAATGCGGAGGTTTCTAGCCTGAACTGGGTAGATGTTGGTGTCAGTAACTGATAAGACAAAGACAAAGAAGATCAGGAAGAAAATAAAAAATGTGTTTGTGCCAAATCTGCTATGTCTACTATATATCCAAAATGGAAATTTCAGGGATAAAAATGATAACGACGTGTCACACTCACTGCCGTTTCCAATGTTTTACACAGAATGATCACCTAATGCTAAGAGGTGACACACCCTGCTTGTGTCTGACAGCAGGGTCTATGCTTATGTCTATCCGACCACAAGCACTTAGATCATGACTGGAGGTCACGGGCAAGATCAGGGCTGGAGACAGCAACCTCGTGTCATCGGCCCACTGTGAAATGCAAAGACCAAGCATGGAAGGGAGTGCCTGGAAAAGAGTGTAGAGAGGAGAACAAGAGCTAAGCCCGAGAGAGGTACAGCGAGAGAGGGTGGAGAACCCGTCTGCAAAAACAAAAGTTCTGGAAATTATAAAGGGAATGGGAGATAGAAACCATATTAATCTTTCCAGCAGGTCTTTGCTCCCATTACTGGCATTCTATCAAAGCTGAATCATGTTCCTCCTCTACTAACACTCTGTGTGATTCCAGGGATGAACTTGCCAACCCTAAAGCATCAGAGGAATATCTGAACTTCAGAGCCAACTGGACCCAGCATGAAGAAAGATCCAGACTCTACTTTACTAGCTTCCAACACTCCTAAGTCCTAACAGCATCCACATGAGCGTCATTTCAAAGTTCTTCTGAGGCCAGGCCAGTGGCTCAAGCCTGTCATCCCAGCACTTTGGGAGGCCGAGGTAAGAGGATTGCCTGAGTCCACAGGTTCGAGTCCAGCCTGGGCAACTTGGCGAAACCTCGTCTCTACAATAAATCAAAAAACTAGCCGGACATGGTGGTGCGTGCCTGTAGTGCCAGCTACTCAGAAGGCTGAGGCAGAAGGATCACCTGAGCCCAGCAGGTCGAGGCTGCGGTGGCCGGGAGTGTGCCACTGCCCTCCAGCCTGAGTGACAGAGTGAGACTCCGACTCAAATAATTTTCAAAAGAAACAAAAGAAAAAGTTCTTCTGAACAGCACAAAACCTTTCAGATAATTACCAGTCCAACTTCTATTCAAACAACCTCCAGAGTTCTCTATTCCTTAACACTCCTTGTTTCTAAGCCCTCCAGTTATGAGATAAGGATTTCATGGAAGAGGAAATACTAATCCTGACTGCTACAAAAATTTACTTTAAATTGAAGCTTTCACTCAAAAATTACAGATAAGGTTATTCTTAACACACACATTTGGGCTCCATTTGTTTCCCCAAAAGTAGGTTCTATACAGCTTTTACAGGAGCCTAGGAGTCAGGACTGAAAAGGATATTTTATGTAAGTTGAAGCATACAGAGCGGAAGAGTTGGGGCTTTCTTTGACCTTCCAAAGCACCAACTTCATAAAGCTCAACTTGAAATCGTTCCACTATTCATGAAGTCTCTTCTGTCCCTGAACTTTAAACAATGTATCCTTAGTTCAGAATGTCTTCTACACCCCTACACAAGTACAAAAAAACACACAAAAAGAAATACTACTTTTATGAGAGAAGATCAAAAGACTCAGGATTTACAAAAACTTGTGTATTTATTCTAACATGTTTAAACTTCAGTCACCTTCAAAGATTCTCTGTTTGATGGAATATACATATCAAGATGCTTTTTCTACTGCTCAAAACAATTTTTGAACTCATCAATTTTGAAGCTTTTTGTGTTTCTGCTTTTTTTTGTTTGTTTCACCTCTTCTGCATCACTAAACAGCAACAAAAAAATGCTGGGGGCGAGATCATGTGATTTGGGAGAGAGGGCCACAGGGGTCATCGTGGTTTTGGTCGAAAACTGCTGAACACTTGGCGTGGTGTGGGCAGGTGTGTTATCACGGTGGAAGAACCAGTCCGCTGTCTGCCACAACTCGGAGGTTTCTTCTGCCAGCTGTGACACCACTTTCTCAAAACTTCCGGATAAAAACTTGGGTTGACCATTTGATCTACAAGGGGTTTACCCTCCAAAAGATAGCTCCAGTTTTTTTGAGGTCCCCCTCATAAGCTTAATAAAATTAGTGGAGAGAAAAAACTGTAACTTCATTTTAGTAAGCTGTTTAATATAGCAATTTGATTGCCACAGAGCATTTGACAAAGGATTTGCATGTATGTTATTTTTAGGGGTTTTTTTATTACTAGCATTCTTTCACATTTTAATTCCCTGTAATTAACAGAATAATTTTCTCTGAATTCTAGCTATTCTGACTTATCCTAACAGAAAAAAAAGTGTTCTTATTCCCCTCATAGCCTTTTAAATTTTGGCAAATACCAATTTTCAACTTTTTCATTCTGTGACTATTATTATAATGAATTTTTTTTAAGAAACTTACCTGATTTCTGACTCATTTTTATAAATTACTGTTGGTTACTGAGGACTGTTTTCTTTTTACTGCAGAAACTTTCAAGTACATCAGCCCCCCTTTATCTGCAGTTTGACTTTTTGTGGTTTCAGTTTTCCATGGTAAA